TCTCGCTGCCCAGGCGGGTCTCGAACCCTCAGGCTCAGGCAATCCACTCACCTCAGCCTCCCAAAAGCATGGGATTACAGGCTGAGCCACTGAGCCCGGCTTGGATCCTCACCTTTAAGGATGAGGAATCAGGCTCAATAGCTGAGGCCCTGCATAGGGTCACAATGGCTATTTGGTGGACTTGAACCCAGGTCTCTTGACATCCTGGACAAGAACTGTATTTATAACTCAGTGCCCTTCACTTCTAGGACTACTTCAGTCAGAGGTAACCTCTTTCCTGGCTCACCCCTTGGCCAAATTAATTAATTAACCAAATATTTCTAAAATATCTACTCTGTGCTGGGGATACCTCAGACGAAAATTCCTGCCCTCCTGGTGCTTTTAGGGGGGAGAAGAGAATAAATAGCTAAATTCCATGTTGATGAGAGGCACTTTGAAGAAAAATAAGATAGGGAAAGTGGGAGGAAGTGCTGGCTGGGGGTGATGCTGAAGTTTTAAACGGGGTGGTCAGGAAGGGTGATGCTTTGGCACATGCAAGAGGAGGCAGAGGAATGAGCTCTGTGGGTTCTGAGGAAGAGCAGCTGCAGCTGCCCTGAAATGGGAGCATGCCTGGCAGCAGGGAGGCAGGGCGAGTACCCATGTGGTTGCGGTTGGGTGGGGGGGAGTAATGAGGGAGAGAGGAGGAAGAGGAAGACCCAGTGAGGCTTCATAGACCCTTGTGAGGGCTTCTGCTGCCAGCTGGGAAGCCAGAGCAGGGACATGAGCTTGCATTTTAGCAGAATCCTTCTTGCTGCCGTGATGAGAATAGACTGTAGAACCAAAGGTAGTAGGATGTGACATAGTAACGCAGATTAAGAGATTATGGTGGCTTGGACCAGGTCATAGCAAGAAGGTGGTTATATGTTGAAGGTAGAACCCATGGAATTTGCTGACAGACTGAGTGTGAGGAGTGAAAGAGAGGGGTCACAGCCTGAGCATCTAGAAATGCACTGTCTAACACATTAGTCACATTTGGCTGTTTAAATTTAAATTAGGCTGTGCTTGGTGGCTCACACCTATAATCCCAGCACTTTGAGAGCCCAAGATAAGAGGATTGTCTGAGCCCACTGGTTCAAGACCAGCCTGGGCAACTTGGTGAGACCTCATCTCTACAATAAATCCAAAACTTAGCTGGATGTGGTGGCGAGTGCCTGTAGTTCCAGGTACTTGGAAGGCTGAGGTGGAAGGATCACCTGAGCCCAGTTGGTCAAGGCTGTGGTGGTCATGAGCATGCCACTGTACTCCAGCCTGGGTGACAGAGTGAGACTCCAACTTAAAAAAAAAAAATTAAATTAGTCCAGGCAAGGTGGCTCACATCTGTAATCCCAGCACTTTGGGAGGCTGAGGTGGGAGGATTGTTTAAGTCCAGGAATTTGAGACCAGCCTGGGCAGCATAGCAAGATCTTGTCTCTAACAAACAAACAAACAAACAAACAAATATTAGTTAAAGTTAAATACAATAAAAATTTAGTTCTTTGTTCATGCTAATCATATTTCAAATACTCAATACCCCCATATGACTAGTGGAATTGGACAGTACAGATATAGACTGTTTCCATTATGGCAAAAGTTCTATTGAACTACACTGAATTTTAGAATGAGGGAGTTGCCAAGAACATGAATGTGGTTTTGGACATGTGGAGGCCTTAAAATGCACCCACCCCATGCTGTGTGTATTGTGATACTGATGGCCAGTTGGCCAGAGTTGGCATCTGTGGGGAAGAACACTGTTCTCAAAGTCCTGGTAAGCCCTCTCTTGGACCCTTGCAGTACCACTTCAAGACTTTGGAGTGCTTTCAAATCCAGCCCAACAAGCGGATGCAGCTGTTTCCAACAGGGAATTAATTAAATCCAAGAACTGCCCTCCCTGCCAGCTACTTGCAGAAGAGATTCAGCACACACAGCTTGCCTTACATCGCCCTCAAGTGTACACAGCAAGCAGTCTCTTCTATTTCCAATGCATTACTGAGCCTAATTCTTGGCGTCCAGCTGTCTCTGTGGTTTTCAACTTTTCCGGTACTGTGGATCCCCTAAAGAATGTGTGACCCTCTCCTTAGAAGATCACATGTGCATACATAAATGTTTTCACTCCAAGTCCTCTGAAACTGTTCCTGGACCTCAGGTTAAGAAACCCTGTTAAATGTTCTGATGACACTCAGATCTTTCTCCTGGGCTCTAGAACAGTATATCCAGCTGACAGCCAGCACCTCCACCTTATTATCCTATAGGAACCTCTGTCATGTACCAGACTGAACTCATGTGGCGTTTTTTCTCTCTCTCTCCTTTTTCTGTTGCTTGTGTTTCTCTCTCCCTCCCTCCCTCTGAACTCATCTTCTTCCACCTCTGGTCTTCCTCCTGTGTTGTTTTTTTCAGCGAAAAGCACTACTCAGCCATCCCTGAACTCATCCTTGACTCCTCTCTCTGTCTCTCTCAGCTTGCCTTGCCATCTCTGACTTCTTTCCATCTCCACTACTATTGTCCTGTTTTAATAAAGCATACATAATCTCTCAGCTGGAGACAGCAGGCTCTGTCTCTGCTTCCTGTTTCTGCCTCCACTCAATCCACCTTCTTCTCAGCAGTGATAAAAACAAAGCTATAGTAACAAAACATTACTTCTCACATTACTTTTCAGATCTGTACATTCCATCTTTGGACATTTCAGATGGTTAAAAAGTTTCCTTGCTTTTTTTTTGAGTTGGAGTCTTACTCTGTTGTCCAGACTGGAGTGCAGTAGCACGCTCCCGGCCACCACAGCCTCGACCTGCTGGGCTCCGGCAATCCTTCCGCCTCAGCTTTCCAAGTAGCTGGAACTATAGGCGCACGCTACCATGCCCGGCTAATTTTTTTTAATTTATTGTAGAGATGAGGTCTCGCCAAGTTGCACAGGCGGGTCTCGAACCCACGGGCTCAGGCAATTCACTCACCTCGGCCTCCCATGGCACGGGATTACAGGCTGAGCCACCGAGCCCGGCCCCTTGCATTGTTAATATGCTTTTCTGTAGATCTCAACCACTGATAGTGGTTCTGTAGTCTGGGGTCCTGTAACACCTCAGCAAAGGAAGCTCTCACATGTCCCTGTCTTCTTATTTCTGACTGTGTCTTACACCATAGCCTTTCAATTGGAGGGGCCTGAATGATTTTGTGGGTGAGAAAGCTTAGGCTAGAAAAGGGAGGACCAAAAGTGGGGGTCTCTAGTGCTGAGAAGAGGGCACATAAAAAAGTGTCCCACACATATTTATGGAATGGATGGATTTGTGTCATTGAGTACCTTGCCTAGGGTCACAGTGAATTAGTTACCCAGAAAGAGGATTTGGATCCAATTCTCCCAACTCTTTGGAGGCTGCTAAACCTCAGGTAACTTAGCCTCTCTTGGCTTCTGTTTCCTCTTCCATAAAGCAGAAAGTAGCTGTGCTATTTCATAGGGTTACTCTGAGGATTAATCGAGTATGTAAAGCACAGTCCTTGGCATATGGTAAGCACTAAATAAATGGCAGCCATTATCATCATCTCACACAGCAACTGAGATGGATGTGTCAGTCTAGGTGTTGGCTTATGTTAAGGGGAGAAAGTCTAGGCTAAATGTATCCGTTAGGTAACTTATCTAAGAAGTTAGTCGAGAATGTGCTATTCTTTTGCATCAAAGCTTTTAGATTAAATAAACTAGTAACATTTTTATCTATACCCTGTACAGGCAGGAATTAGTGGTGGGTCTCACAAATGAGCTGACCATGAACATTAGCCTAACTAACTCTGGGGAAGATTCCTACATGACAAGCATGACCTTGAATTACCCCAGGAACCTACAGTTTAAGAAGATACAAAAGGTAACTATGAAGGCAGCTTTGGAAATAGGCTGCTCAGCCCTTCCCTCTCTGCATGCTTGCTTTTCTGTGGCAATCTCCTCACTGGTGTCCCTGCCTCCAGCCTGCTCCTGGTCTGTCCAATAAATGGTTAGTAATTCGAGGAATCCCCTCCAGTCCAGCTATATGCCTGGATCTATTCCCTGCCTTCAAAAATCTTCCATGGTGCCATTTCACCGCACAGTTACCCCTCCCTGCATGTACCCTTTCTTAACCAGGGTTATGAGCGCTAAATAAGCTCTAATGCCCCAAGGCATCGAGAAAGTAAACATTAGCCTGGACTGGGGAAGCAAAGATCTGCACTGCCACTCCCCAGGCTGGGATCACAGACACAAAACCAGCTGCAGAGGTACTAGGACATGGTCTTTCTCCTAAGGACACCCTGCAGTTGTCAAGTACCACAACTCTGAGACATTTTGTCCTCTAAAATCATAGATGATCACAAATGTTACCATTTGAAGTTTTGTTGGTAATTATGAACCCATCTCACTTTTGCCTGTGGAATCTAAGTCACTTAGACAAAGAGAAGCAGTTTCAATTTCCATGTGAGGTAGACATTCAGGTAAAGTGGTTCTGAGCACAGCTGTCCATGCTGTATTAATCGTTTCCAAGGGAGCACTTTGCAGTCCAGACCTGATGTTGACTGACCCCTTCACACACAGCCCAGCTTTGCTTGGAGGCCATCAAAACATTGCTTTGTTTACATCTCACCTGAACTCTACCCTTCCCCAGAATCCTTTAATAACTCTATCTTTCCCTTTGTTTGGTGGGTTAGGATATTCATCATATGAATAAAAGGACCTATGCATCTAGAAGGGAACTAGTGATGTCTCATCCTTGGGAGAATTAATAGACATGCCAATCATTTTCTGAACTCAGTGGTCCAGATGAGGAGCCCTGGTTGAGAATGGCTGTGTGGCAATGTCTGGCACATGCTGGTCTTCCAGCTTGTCTCAGTGTGTTATGTTTGTATTGGTTCAAGGCCCAGTTCAAATGTCTCTTCCCCAGGAAGACTTTACACATTCCTTCTAGTTGGAATTCATCTTTCTCCACCGCTATCCTCTGTACTTTTCTCACAGAAGCACCCCTCCAGCCTTGTATTAATATTTAAGTTCCTTAAATTTCTACTCCTGAACCCTCCCGCTGAGCTTGTGAGGAAGGCAGGGACCACGTCTGATTTGTTTCCCCAGCTTTTGGCATCATGTCTGGCATGTAGAAAAACCAGTAAATGTTTGCTGAATTGGTGTGAATAAGTGGTCCCTGTTCTTACTCTTTAAGAAGGGTGTCTTCTTCTGTGTCAACAGTCTCCCTCTCCAAACATTCAGTGTGATGATCCCAAGCCAGTTACTTCTATCCTGGCCATGAAGTGCAAGATTGGTCACCCGGTACTCAAGAGGTCATCTGTGAGTCTGTCTTGATTGGTTGGCTCTTCTCACTATCCCGGAGTTGGTGTCTCTTGCATCCCAGTTTCATTTGAATCTCTCAGTTGTGGTCTCTCCACTTCTCTTTGCTGAACAGTCAATCCTTAGCTGTGCTTAGAGCTGCTAAGTCTGAAAGTAGGGAGTGGTGAGGATGGGAGGCAGCTTTTGAGCATACAGCCATAGAGAGACTGCTGGCTTACTCAGTAAAGCACAGTGAAGTTGGGGGTGACATGGGAGGTGCATCAGACCAAAAGCTACTAGCCTTGAGGTGAGTCCCTGAGCTGCCACTGATTATCTTTGTGCTGTGGGAAATCTCTGAAGTGGTTTCCTCCACTGTAAAAGGAGAATAATCCTGTCTGCCCTGCTCAGTCATATTGTTTAAGACGTAAGTGAAAAAATGGATGTGTTACAGAAATGTGAGGAATATGAATTATGCTTTCTAGGTCTGTCTTGTAAGCAGTTTGAATTGTGAGTAGCATAGAGAGGAATCAAGACATCATTTTCCCCTTTAAATAGGCAAACGTTTCCATAGTTTGGCAGCTAGAGAAGAATGTCTTTCCAAACAGGATCTCAGACATCACTGTGACCATCACCAAGTAAGTAGTGCCTATGTCACAGCAGACTCAGGCTGTGACTCTAGAAGAAATCACCTTTCCACATGCATGCTGTGAGAGCTCTGGCCCCTTACTGCCCAGAACGAAAAGAAATCTCAGTGAATCCACGGAAGGGACCTGTGCCCCCACAGTGACTTGGCTTTCTCTTGTTATCAGATATTTAAAATGTCTTTTTATTTACACACAAAGTAAGTTTATGGTATAGTCTTGTGGAAAGAGCCTTGGATTGGAGTTCTAGTTCTGTTTCATTTAACTTTGGCATCTGCAAAAAACTTCTACATTTGGGAGTAAGGTGGGCAATCGTGTTGGGAAGAGGTTCTCAAATGGAGGTGATTCTACCCCCAAGAGGCAATGCATTTGGAAAGTTTTGATTGCCATGACTTGGATGGTGCTACTGGCATCTAGTGGATAGAGGCCAGGGATGCTGCTAAACACCACAGAGAAGCAGCACAGGACAGATCCCACAACCAGGAATTAACTGGCCCAAAATGTCAATAGTGTGCAGGCTGAAAAACCCTTTTAAAATCAAGATTTCTCTAAGTGTGGTCTTTTAGCAGTTCTTCTGCATTCTAATTGCTTATCTCTGAGAACCTTTTCTTACCTGACCTGATGACCCTGGGGAGCCAAAGTATGGAAGCATCTGTTTTGTGCAAAGCAGTTGTGCTGCGAACTAACACTCTTATTCCTAGTTCCAATGAAAGAAGGTCTTTAGTCAGAAAGACCCACAGCCTTCAATTCAGACATGTCTTCAATGCAGTTCTTTCCAAGTAAGTACTTCCAAGGGGCCAACACAAGTATGACTGCCATGCCTGGGGAACAGCTTTAGGCATATTCTCCCGCAGATGGAACTGGTGGTCAGGATGGATGTGGGCATTGTCGTCTGCTTAGGACCCAGGCTCTGACATTGCTCTCTAGGGCACCAACAGTTAGGTCCTAGAAACCCCACAGTGGCCATCAGAGGACAGTACCAACTGGTCTTGCTATAAAAGGGTACTAACATGATGCTATGGAGGAAAGAAGAGAGGAGCTGTGGGATTGGGAGGTAAGAAGGGAACAAAGTAAATGAACCAGCCCAACCCAAACCATCCTACCTCATGCCAACTGCCCTACAAAGCACTTTTCTTTTTTTTTTAAATTGAGTTGAAGTCTCATTCTGTCACCAAGGCTGGAGTGCAGTGGCACACTCATGGCCACCACAGCCTTGACCTGCTGGGCTCAGGCAATCCTTCTGCCTCAGCCTTCCAAGTAGCTGGAACTATAGGCATGTGCCGCCATGGCTGGCTAATTTTTTTTACTTATCGGAGAGACGAGGTCTTGCCAGGTTGCCCAGATTGCTCTTGAACCCCTGAGCTCAGGCAATCCTTTCGTCTCCTCCCCCCAAAGTGCTGGGATTACAGGCATAAGCCACCATACCCAGGCTACTTAGCACTTTACATTTTGACATTTGGCTTTGATTCCTCTTAAGGATCTGGTACCTTCTGTCCTAGTGTATCCACTGATGGCATCCAAGTTCATTCAAAATGAGAAAGGGACCTTGAGGCCTAACTAATGTCCTTTCAATTGCAGACCATCAGTAATGTACATCAACACAAGCCAGGGGCTTTCTGACAACAAAGAATTCCTCTTCAGTGTAAGTACTTAGTGTTTATCATGGCAAACTAAAGATGGCAAGCAACTCAAGCTTTGACTTCCTACTCTGATTTTACTTTGCAGATACAAGGGGAAAATCTCTTTAGAGCTGAATTCCAGTTGCAAATTTGTGTCCCAATCACATTACAAGGTCTCCAGATTATAAGAGTGAAGAACTTGACGAAGACACAGGTAAAGGTGGTTCTTTATCACAATCACTTCTCTTTCCAGTGACTATGGGTTCTCAAAGATATAAAAACTAGAGTTCTAGAAAGGGAGCAAGGATAAGTTAACCATGGGAAAACACTAGGAGTAAGTTACCAAAGTCATGTTCAGAAGTAATATCAACCACTCAGATTTTAAAACAGCATTTCAGTTTTCATCCCCTTTGTGAAAAATAAGCAAAAATTCAAACCTTTTTAGTAGCCATGGAGACATTTTTTCTTTGAAAATTGGTAATTTCTGCTTCTCTATATGACTGATGAGTGAGCTTGTTAAACATGTGACACTTCTCTCTATAATTAGTTTACGATCTTCCCTCTTCCTCTTTATTCTTTCTAGCCTTCATTTTCAATTAACTTGTCTGTAGTCTGGTTCCTAAAGCCAGCCTTCATACCTAAAGCAATAGGCTCTTATTGTATGATAACTGAGCCCTGGGCTTTCTTGATTTTTTTCTTCCCCCCTCTGAGGATCCATAAACTGTCAAGGCTCAAAAATGAAAATATGGAAAGGAATTTACAGAGTGGACACTGCTGACAATTAGAAAGAGGACTTATAAATTATAAACACTTGTTCTCATATATATAGTTTTTTTAAAAAAAGAGACAGGGGTCTTATTCTATTGACTAGGCTAGATTCAAACTCCTGGGCTCAAGTAGTCCTCCCACTTCAGTTTCCCGAGTAGCTTAGACTACAAGCACACACCACTGCACCCAGCTAATTTATTTTTTAAGAACATTTGTTAGCAGCAAGTTTAAACATTTCAAGGAACGTTTCAGTTTACATTTGGAAACAAAATTCTTGAAAAGCTGATTTGAAATAGGTGAGAATGGGAATTTCACCCTGCTCTGGGGATGGAGGTTGAAACAGCACCAGAGGCTTCCAAGAGCAGTGTCCTCTCATTTTGAGACAGTCAGACACATTTGGCTTACTTAAATAAACTGTGTTGACAGAGCAGATCTGTGGCAGAGCTGAAGTTCAGCATTGTCCCATAGAAATACTGGATCTGTTTCTTCATTTGCTTCATGGCAGGGGTGTTAGATTTAGTCTTGAAGGTCATTTGTCTTAGAATCTTATCTGTGAGGTAATGGAGCCAGAGCACATTATTATGAGGGTGATATTCACCCCAGCAGTTGTTATTCTCCTTCCTCATGAGCCTGTAGATCTCAAACTGGTAATCACCTTCACCTGTAAATAGATCTTCATCCATGGAAATGTCACAGAAAACTACAATCCCATCCCGTTCCAAGCGTGACAAGGTGTAGTCAATGATGTTGACTTGCAGCCCATGGGTGGGGATAGTGCCTGTCTTCCCGTTGAGTGTGTACTGCAGTTCTTTGAGGCTGGTTTTCTTTAAGAGCACATTCCCCCAGTGTAAGTCTCGGTGCTCAAAGTTCAGTGATGCCTCTGCCACTGCAAGGGATGCTGTAATCTGGTGTAGAATACTCTTTGCAGTAGCCAAGGAAGACAACTTCTTTTTCATTTGCTCTAAGTCAGTCCCTCCAAACTCAAACTCCAGCACAACAAAGAGCTGGTGCTCCTGAAAAAAGTCAGGCCGGTCATTTTCAGACCCTTTGGTTGACTTATAGTGATCCCAGGCTTTGAGGAGCAAGGAAGGGTAAGGCCCTTGAACACAGTGCACTGAGTTCAGCCCAATGAAGCCATCTGTGCGGTTGCACACTTCATCAGATAACAGGCTCAGTTCTTTGGAGATGATGATTTCTGGCAGGATTTCCTCAAAGGTTTTCTGATGGGATCCATTGACTAAATCTGGTCCTTCAATAGCAATGATTTTTAGAGCTACAGATGTGTGATCAGCAATGGTTTTAAACACTTCGCCAAACACCCCTTCCCCAATCTTCTCACAGTGTTCCAGTTTTTCTGTGGAAAGGCAATGGCTAAAGGGGATAGGACCTTCCTGATTGCATTCCCCATAAACCTTTTCAGCATCAGATGCCTTTTTGTTTGTAATATGTGGTGTCTTTAAGGGGCTTAGCAAGTGCATAGAAGAGGAGTGCCAAGGGGATAGAGCACTATTTGTTCTGTTCATGTCAGGAGGGTCTGAATATTCTGACAGGAGAGATCTAGAGAGAGAACTGGCAATAGGATAGACGCTGCACACCTCTGACACGTCAGTCACAATTTTCTTCTTGTGAAAACTGAAGGAGGCCCTGGTTTTGGTCCAAGAGCTGACATTCAGGTCCTGCGTGAGGAATGAATCTTTCTCCATCTTTTGGCCCTTTTTAAACTGGTGGTAATGGAGGAGAGAGGTTTCCATTGCCTCCTGACGTTTCCTCTTCTGGCTTGGCCGGGTTCTCTCAGTCCTGTTGGTTCCCCCAGGTACAATACAGCCCTTGCAAACTCTGACCTCCTTATATTTCGTTCGGACAGCCTCTTGAGACCCAGTTTCGTGACAAGAGTCCGGGCCTGTGGCCCTCTTACCTGCCCTTGATAGGCCTGGGTCTTCCAGTCTGTTTCCCACTAGCTCCCTTTCACAGCGGGACTCTCTCAAATTCCTCCCATCTGCCCCAAACTCAGAATCCTCAGGGCTTCCTGAGTCCATAAGGCCAAAGATAGCTGACCTGAGGCTGGCACGGGCGTGGTGGACCATCCTGGTGAGCCTGCCTCTTGTCGCTGCTTCCTGGGAGTTGTGGAGAGATGGTCGGTCCAGGGTGGCTTCCGGGAAGTGGAAGTCGCTCGGGGCTGCAGAGGTTGCATCGAGAGAGGCGGAGAGGCTGCTGGAGACGAGACTGTCCGTTGGCGCCGGGGAGCCGGGGGTCGGCCGGAGGGCTGAACAGGGAGGCGCTGGTGCCCAGCTCGTCGCCGTCCTGGGGCCGGCTGCACACGCTGAGGTCCGGGCTTAGGCGGCCCGAGCTGCGGCTGGGGAAGGGCGGCGGTCCCAACGGGCCGCAGGGGGTGCTGCACTGCCGCGGGCGCCGGGCTCGCAGCCTCGGGCGTCCTGGGGTCACGGTCAAGCTCGGCTGGTCCTTGGGGACTCGGCCGCCAGGGCGCCTCCGCCGCCGACCAGGCGGGCTGCCGGGGAAGTCGGGGTCGTCCGGATCGTCGGAAGCGACAGATTGCGAGGGGCCGCCGAGGCTGGTGTCACTGCTGCTGCTGCTGCTGAAGAATCGCCGCCGCTCCTGCGGCGGGAACCACGGCGCGGCTGCCCGGCCCTGCCGCCGCAGTGGTCTCCCGCCGGCCGCAGCCCCATAAGTCCGGAAGAGCCGGCTCCCGGGTCGCGGGAGTGAAGCCGCCATGGCCGGCGCCCGCTCGACGATTCAAATGAAAACACCGCGAGACTTCCGCGCGATGTGTGCGCGGCCGTTGCCCGCTGGGTCCTAGAGACCGGCTGTACGCGTGCGCAGTACGCTGGTACTGGCGGGTGCCGGGACCGGGCAGGAGATATGGCGGGTTGGTTTGCTCTGTGCGACGCGGGAATGGCTCTCGTTTCAGGCCTACACCGTGTGTACTCGGAGTCAGGAGCGCGCTTGTGGGAACAGTTCGGTTCAGGTAAGCGCAGGGAGAGGCCAAGATGCTGCTTTTTCAGGGTTATCCCTGTAGGCCAAGGCAAGGCGGCCTTCTCGTCCTCCTGAGCTTCGTCATTGGGTCACACTTGCTAGGTCTGGAGGCTTGCTTGGGCCGAGGTGAGGACTGAAACTGCTCACACCCTTTATTCGGGGACGTTAAAATGTGTGTTCCGAGCGTTAAAAATCTCAGCCTTTTTCCACGAATAGCAGTGATATTGATTAGACTTTCCTTTTCCAGCGTGTGGAAGAGTGGTATTCAGTGAGCTGTGCCATCGCTTCAGATAAGGAGAATGTAACCGTGGCTGCGGAGATCGGGAGCCACTCTAAGCAGGTACTTGAGACGGTGAAATGCTGTAGATGTGATTATCCAGCTGTGCACAGGCATCTTCCCTAGAAAGGATAGTAACGTCTAAAATATAACATGTCCAGGATAACTCTTTGGTGCACCTTCTCTCCCAACCTGTTCCTTGGCCAGTTACTCTGGGTGCCCTCAGTGTGGTGACTTACTCCAGTTACAGTACTAGGAATTCTAGGAATTATCGGTGACTTCTCTCTATTATTCTACATCCTCTAACTATTCCAGTAGCAAGCCCTGCCATTTCATTGCCAAAATACATCCTAAATCCATATACTTCTCTCCTTCTCCATTGCTACCGGTGTAATTCAGGCCACTATCTCTTGCCAGGACTAGTGCAGTAACCTGGAACCCGCTCATCTTACTTCTGCCATCCCACCCTCTACAAATACTTCTCTACGTAACAACTATCCATCTTCTAAAAGCATCAGATTGTGCCTCTCACCTGCTTTTTTTTTTTAAGTGGCCTTTGCACACACTTACACTAAAATCTATACCTTTCCCGTGGCCTGCAAGGCACTACTTGATGTCTACTCTGCTGAATTCTTCAACTCCATCTTCTAGTACTTGCCTTCCCCCAACTCCTTTCTTATAATCAGGCTATTCTGTCCTTTCTGTTCTTCTGGTTTGCCAATATTATTCTAGCTTTAGGACTTGCTGTTCCTTTGCATAACCCTGCGTTTCCCCTAGGTCTTCACATGGGTGGTTTCTTCTTAGATTGAGCTCCAATGTTATTTTCTTAAAGAGGCCTTCCCTGATCACTGATTTGAAAGTGGAAACTGGTGATCGAGTTTAATGTCTTGCAGTGATCCAGGAGAGAGTCATGAATTCTAAACTTGAAGAAATAGCAATGGGGATGGAAAAGGGACAAGTGCAGGAAAGAGTTAAAATTGTCAAGAGCTGGCTTTGAGTGGGACTTGTGACATGAGGTAAAGGGTAAGGGAGAGATAACTGCAGATTGCTTGTTTAGGTAACTTTGTGGATGTTGGGGCCATTAACTAAGCCTAGGAACACTGGAGAAGGAATAACTTTAAAGGGAAAGATGGTGAGTGCTGTCCAAAAATAATGAGTCTATGCCTAAAATATGTTTTGTTTCCCTCTTTCCTTCCCCTATTTCATAGTTACCAAAAGATATAACCGAACTGCAGATCCTTGCTGAAATATCTTTCAACAAATCTCTGTATGAGGGTCTGAATGCAGAGAGCCACAGAACTAAGGTAATCCCTGACTGTTTTCTGGTTTCTCAGTAGTGGCCTGGGAAAACTTTGCCTAACCTTTGAGTCCCTGCACAGACACACCCTGCTGTTGCCCTTTTCATGTTTTCAGTCTTATCAATTCTGATCTTGGCTTTGCCACCAGTGCCTTTGTGACCTTGAGGGAGTCATTGCTTCCTCGGTTTTTTTGCTGTGAAATAAGGCAATCAACCCTTTGCACTCGGATGTTCCCTCTCAGGGCACATTGTAAATCTAGCAAACCACTCAGTTGTCCCCTCTCAGGGGACATAAAGACATAGTTGGTGATTATACAGGACAAACTTATGCTAGCACAAATTTTCCAAAAACGTATGTTTCCTTGAAGTTTTCCATTCAAATTGCACAAAAAAGCAAATAAAGAAATGGGATATATACTGAGATATGATTGATCCGTTGAGAAGTGGTTTTCAGGAATCATGAGTGCGTCCTTCCACATCTTCGAACAACACACTGGACCATAAATTACATATTAATGTGGGAGGAAGAAAATGAGACTGCATTGTCTGCTTGAATAGGAAAACACCAGGTAGAAGATGTCAAATAAATTACTATTGTACAACATGTATCAGTGAACTCACAGTATGTGTTGGTGACTGTTTCACATATTACCATATGCTAGAAAAATACAAAATACAAAATTTTGACTTTTTTGTCATAAATTCCTCAATGTTCAAAATTTCACTATAAGCCAGATATCATTACAATAAAATACTTGGTTCCCGTGCTACACTATTTAATATGAAGTGATTTGATTTTCACTATTTTGTATAACAGCGTGGTCAAGTTGCTGGTAGGTGATCTGCAAGATATCTCTGAGTGCAAAGGGTTAAATAAGTGGCCCAACTAGGTGTAGTGGCTCACACCAGTGATCCCAGCACTTTGGGAGGTGGAGGTAAGAGAATTGCCTGAGCCCAGGGGTTAAAGACAAGCTTGGGCAACTTCACAAGATCTTGTCTCAACAATAAATCCAAAAATTAGTCAGGTGTGGTGGCGCTCGCCTGTGGTTCCAGCTACTTGGAAGGCTGAGGTGGATGGATCACCTGAGCCCAGCTGGCCAAAATTGGGGTAGCCTTGAGCGTACCATTGCATTCCAGCCTGGGCGACAGAGTGAGACTTCCAACTCAAAATAAATTAAAAAATAAATAAATACTATTTATACATAAATAAATAAATGGCCTGGGTGACAGAGTGAGAATTCCAAATAAACAAATACATAGACAATAAATAAATAAAAATTTATAAATAAATAAGTGGCCTAAGTTGAGGAGGTCTGAGTTGAAATAATTAGGTGGGAATCAGCTGCAATGTATACTTTGATTTGAAAATGTATTCATTTAAACAATTTTTTTCTAAGAAATTATTTTTTGTATATATGAACTGTCTTCCTAGTGTGCAGTGTCAGTGTTTAGCTGCAATATTAAACAGTTAAAGCACTCAGGAACGTATAATTCTTTTATAAGACTTAGAATAAGTACTAAAACTCTTGAAATTCTTTTTTGCAGTAGTATGACCAGAATGAAACTGATGCCTATGATTTATGGACTAAATGCTTCTGTGTTTGTTATCCTATTTTCATTCTTGTTGACACTTGCTTGGACATGGTTTCAGAGATGATCTATCTTTTTTTTTTTTTTGAGTTGGAGTCTCATTCTGTCACCCAGACTGGAGTGCAGTGGCTGCTGCCGGCCACTACAGCCTCGACCTGCTGGGCTCCGGTGATCCTTCTGCCTCAGCCTTCCAAGTAGCTGGAACTATAGGCACGCGCTACCACACCTGGCTAATTTTTTTTTTTAAAAATTTATTGTAGAGGTGAGGTCTCACCAAATTGCCCAGACGGGTCTTGAACCCGCGGGCTCAGGCAGTCCCAAGGTGTGGGATTACAGGCTGAGCCACCGAGCCCAGCCAGAGATGATCTATCTGTGAGCTCTTTAGTTAGGCATGCTTCTTCACTAGAGAGAATGTCAGGAGACTGAGACCAGATTGTTAAACATAAGGTCCTCTGATTTCCTTCCTGGAGGAGGAAAAAGGAGCAATTTTCTAGATATGTCAAAATAACATTTTCTTTTCTTTTTAAGCATAGTTTTTCTAATGCAGAAAATGACATGGAAGAAATAGAAGTGTCCCATTATCACACTGCCCAGTTATTTGTATTTTTTGAGTTGGAGTCTTACTCTGTTGCCTAGACTGGAGCACAGTGGCATGATCATGGCTCACTGCAGCCTCAACTTCCTGAGCTTAGGGGTTCCTTCTGCTTCAGCCTCCTGAGTAGCTGGGACTGTAGGCATGTGCCACCATGCCCAGCTAATTTTTATTTTTTTATTTTATGTAGTGATGGGATCTTGCTAGGTTGCCTAGAACTCTTGGGCTCATGCAGTTCTTCTGCCTCAGCTCCCCAAAGTGCTAGGATTACAGGCATGAGCCACAATGTCTGCCCAGCCTTTTTTTTTTTGAGACAGTGTCTCCACCTAGGCTGGAGTGCAGTGGCATGATCAAAGCTCACTACAGTCTTGAACTCCTGGACTCAAGCGATCCTCTGCCTCAGCCCCCCTAGTAGCTAGGAATACAAGTATCTGCCACCACACCTTGCTAGTTTTTTTTTTTTAATTTGTAGAAACCCGAGGACCTTATGTTTAACAGTCTGCTTTGTTGCCCAGGCTGGTCTTGAATTCCTGACCTCAAGCAGTCCTTCTGCCTCGGCCTCCCAAAGTGTTGGTATTGCAGGTGTGAGGCACCATACCCAGCTACTGCCCAGATGTTAAAGAATAAAAGTAATAGCAAGAAAATCCAAGCCTTGCAGAAAAGCACCAAATGAAAAATAATGGTTCCTTCATTCTCTTCCTGCCACACCCCCACATCCCTCTTCCTAAAAGGAGTTACTGTTAAGTTTCTTATGTGCATGTTTTAAATCTATTTATATATTTACCCCCTTTACTCACTGATGGTTTTATTTCTGTAGTATAGATTCCCCCAATATCCTAAGCAAAGTATTAAGTAGTTCCTGACAGTAAGCACCTGACTGACAGTGAATCTACGAGTATAAGTAGCTGTGCATCTAGATGCATTTCAACCACAAGAAAGGGAAAAACCCAGTAAATGCAGCATAAGGACACTATTTAGGTAGGGAAGCAGACCCAAGGGCCATGGCCTGATTCCTTTGGTCTGTGCACTCTGCTGCCTTCCCTCTGCTGATAATGCCTTCTTCCCTCGTGGCCGGCACACAGTTGCCACATCTCCAGATGTTATTATTTTCAAGTGTCAGAATACAATATAGGAAGCAAGAGGTCAGTAGCAAAAGGATTTTCCTTCATGTGCCCTCCCTTTTCAGGGATGAAAATTTTCCTAAAAGCTCCTGGGAAACATTTCCTTAAATCTTATGAGTACGAACTGGGTCTCATGTCAGTCACTGGCAAAGGAGAATAGCTTTGCCATGACTAGCTTAGATCAGTCATAATTTCTGGACAAAATCTGAAAGGAGAGAATGGCTGCTGGCCAGGCCACCCTCAGTGTTTACTAAGCATTAGTTCCCTGTGCCTTGCTTCTCCCTCAGCCTCCACCAGGGCAGCTTTGGAGCACTTCTGGGAACCTGTGGGTTTAGAAGAGGATGAAGGGAAAAGGCTTTAAGAAATACGTGCATTTCTTCTACTCGATTCTGTCCTGTTACTCCACTGTCACCCTGAACTTCCTTTCATTTCCTAAGTGCAGGTTCTCAAGCCCTCTCCTCCCGCCTGTAGAAGAATAAGCCAGCTCTCTTTCTGTTCTTCCTCCTTCTTTGTGGCTTTGGTGCCTCCCGATTCTCAAGCCCTAGAACTTACTCCTAGTAAGTTCAGCTACCTATGAGTTAAATAAGGCCTGGAAAGTCATCCCTAGTCAACTAGTGTTTATAACTTAATTGGAAGAGGCCTTAAAAGTGTCTAGACTTTCACTCCATACAGAAATCTCTCCAAGGCATCCCTGAACTTGGCGCCTAGTCATGTGCATGAGGGGAACACAGTACTGTAGGCAGGCAGAGAAGTCTTGTTGGGCCTCCAGCCCCACTGAAGTCCTGAGAATATGCTCTGGTCACAACTTGGGAGGGCTGTGCCAGGGTCTCAGGAAGCACATTCCCTGAACTTTCCACTGAGCCTTGTTAATGAAAGGAGAGTTAGACTCCTGAAACCGGGAGAGTCTTTGGAAAACAAGACTTGGGGATAATTTCTAATAGAAGAGCTCTACAGATAGTACACTTGGATATAATTTTGCATGCATTATCATGTCCCTGAGATAACATACACTTTTAGTCTGGTGAAGAGCAGACCAGTACTTTTGTCTTATACTTCATGTGGGGAAAATGTATTACCAAATACTTTAGGGATCTGTGCAAGATCAAAAAGAGTGGTCAGGCTGGGTGTGGTAGCTCACACCTGTAATCTCAGCACATTGGGAGGCCGAGGCAGGAGGACTGCTTGAACCCAGGAGTTTGAGCCAGCCTGGGCAACATAGTGAGGTCTCATCTCTATAAAAATAGGAAAATTAACCAGGCATGGTGGTGCATGCCTGTAGTCCTAGCTACTTGGGAGGCTGCGGTGGAAGGATCACCTGAGGCCAGGAGGTCAAGGTTTTGGTGAGCTGTGATTGTGCCACTTATACTCCAGCCTGGGTAACAGAGTGAGACTCTGCTCTCGGAAAAAAAAAAAAAAAAAGATCTATCAAAAGGGAGTTGGAAGGATTTGGAGATTACTTAAAATAAGTCATCATCTCGAAGAGAATGAACATGGGGCTCAAGGACACATGGTGTCACAGCTGCATGAGAATCTCTCAGTCCAGTGTTCTTTAAAACCTAGAGACCTGGCTGGGCACAGTGACTCACGCCTATAATCCCAGCACTTTGGGAGGTTGAGGTGAGAGGATTGCCTGAGCTCACGGGTTCAAGACCAGCCTGGGCAACTTGGTGAGATCTCATCTTTACAATAAATCAATAAGTTAGCCAGATGTGGTGGTGCCTTCCTGTAGCTCCAGCTACTTGGAAGGCTAAGGCTAAAGGATGGATCAACTGAGCCCAGCAGATTGAGGCTGTGATGGCCATGAGTGTGCCACTGTACTGCAGCCTGGGAGACAGAGTAAGACTCCGACTCAAAAAAAACCAAAACCTAGAGCCCTAATAACAGAAGGTAACAATCTCCTGACAGACCTAGCTCTTCTAAGCAAGAGACCAAAATAGCTTCTTATAAAGTATTATGATCATTAGATAATTTTAGATGATCTAACGTGCTGCATCAGGAAATGTTTAGCTTTTTGTTTTACTGTCATTTGTCTTGATCAATACACAGGATGCTGCCAAATCCTCATATTTTGCTCCTTAAAATATATGTAGAATTTTTTCCATGTTTGCTTTACCTGATTTATTGGATGATCTCTTTGTCTTTCCTAGATCACTGTTGTCTTCCTGAAAGATGAGGAGTATAATTCTTTGCCTGTCATCATTAGAGGCAGTGTTGGTGGCCTTCTGGTTTTGATTGTGATTATAATCATCCTGTTCAAGGTCAGTTGTACTTATATTCATAATGGCAAGAGAGGACTGGGCTCTGGTGTTGGACACGGAACTCCCTAGGACAGCAAACCCCTGTTTCTTCAACCACACACACCCTGTTTAGGCAAATGAGTAAGACGGTTTCTGTCTGAAAAAAGAAAAATCTAATTGAAGTATTAGCATACAGAGAGGACTTTCTAAAACAGATCAGATTGTAGTTTTCCAATTTAAGTCCTTTCCTTGACTTCCTTTGTCTTAATATTCAAACTCTCTACTCTCTGGCCTCTAGTCCCCTCCACCCTTAAGTCTTGCTTTTTTCTGCACACAAGTTGAGCTGTTCCCTAAATAGGTTCATGCCTCTGTGCTTGTGCATAGGCCATTCCCCTTGCCAGGAATGCCCTTCCCTTGCTCACACTCTTCCCTGAAAACTCAGCCCAGAGATTTATGAGCCCTCTTCTGGCTTGCATGCTTTTCCTGTGAGCTCCTTCTGGAAACCTTTCCAAATGGCAGTCATCATACTATATTGTAGTTAGTTCTCTTTCTACTCGATTGTGACCTTCTTGGTGTAGGAGACTGTACTTGATCTCTTTTAATCTTCAGTGTAGTAGACCTTACTGAGTATTTTTTGCATAAATAAGATTAGATCCAGTATGACCGAAATTATAATGCTTTGTAAAATTAATAAAAATGCTCTAGGGGTTGAGAGTAAGGTGGAAAGTCAGCTCTGATTGGGAAACGAGCAGCAGGAAAGGCAGCAATGAAGAAAGGTCTTGAAGGGTTAGCTTGTCAGAGAGAGATTTAGAGGAAGGTGGGGGAAGGGAGTAGAAAGCAGAAAGCAGAGGGGCCACGTAGGCACCAGCCGCGATAATCGTTCTGCAACAGAGGGGTGTCTTTGGGCTGTAATTGGACTTTCCTTCCTTTTGTTTCAGTGTGGTTTTTTTAAAAGAAAATATCAACAACTGAACTTGGAGAGCATAAGGAATACCCCTCTGAAATCAGACAGCCAGCTCACAGAAGAAAATTAGGACCTGCTTGCTCATCTGCGGGGAGAGACTACCAGCCAGTCCTTGAGTGTCTGGAGACCTGCTGTTACACTGATCACTTTTTCCTTGAGGATGATCTAGGGCAGCATCAAATAAATTGTCTGTAGAATATTATTTTTTAACCATACGTTTCCCTCAAAGTGTCTGTGCATTGTGCGAAAAGTAAAAGTAAATTGGTATTACATAAAGTTAAACTGTTTTCTTTAGAGCCTTTAATATGCAAATACTGTATTCTTTATGATTTGCAGTAAATTTTGATGTCTGATAGGGTAAGTTTTCATTCTTATTTTTAGATAAAGTATTGATTGTATTATTTCAGATAATACTTAACATATTAAGTTTTTCAGATTTCCAAAAGAGACCTTTTGGGATTTTAATTTAAATGTACAGGTTAAGTTGGGGAGTACTGGTAAGTTTATAGTGTTGTCTTGCTACTTAGACATATGACAGTTTTCCACTTGTTGAGATTTTTAAAAATTGCATCGTCAGCCAGGCGTTGTGGCTCACACCTGTAATTCCAGCACTTTGTGAGACCAAGGTGAGAGGATTACCTGAGCCCAGGAGTTTGAGATCAGCCTGGGCAATGTGGCGAGACCTCATCTCTATAATAAAAAACTAGCCGGGCTCAGTGGCTCAACCTGTAATCCCGCGCCTTTGGGAGGCTGAGGTGAGTGGATTGCCTGAGCCCGTGGGTTCGAGACCCACCTGGGCAGTGAGACCTCATCTCTACAATAAAAAAAAAAAAAAAAAAAATCAGCTGGGCGTGGTAGCACATGCCTGTAATTCCAGCTACTTGGAAGGCTGAGGCGGAAGGATCGCCAGAGCCCAGCAGGTGGAGGCTGTGGTGGCCGGGAGCGGCCACTGCACTCCAGTCTGGGCGATAGAGTGAGACTCCAACTCAAAAAAAAAAAAAAAAAAGCTAGCCAGGCATGGTGGCATGTGTCTGGTTCCAGCTACTTGGAAGGCTGAAGTGGAAGGATCACCTGAGCCCAGCAGGTTGAGGCTGTGGTGGCTGTGCGTGTGCCACTGCACTCCAGCCTGGGTGACAGAGTGAGACTCCAACTCAGAAAAAAAAAAGACAAAAGATGTGTAAAAGTCTTCCCATCCAACTTTAGACTTCCTACTCTTTATTTTCTGGTCCCATTTAAAATATACGTGTCATTACTGGGCTCCGTGGCTCAGCCTGTAATCCCAGCATTTTGGGAGGCCGAGTTGAGTGGATTGCCTGAGCCCGCAGGTTCGAGACCCACCCGGGCAACTTGACGAGATCTCGTCTCTACAATAAATCAGAAAATTTAGCCAGGTGTGGTAGTGCGTGCCTGTAGTTCTGGCTACTTGGAAGGTGAGGCAGAAGGATTGCTGGAGCCCAGCAGGTCGAGGCTGCGGTAGCCAGGAGCGTTCCACTACACTCCAGTCTGGGCAACAAAGTGAGACTCCAACTCAAAGTAAAATAAAATAAAATATATGTGACCTGCATGGGCTTTGTACTTTTGCAGCTAGTTCATTCCAGGTGGTATTAGCTCTGTTTTATGGAGTAGGAAACAATCCTTTTTTAGTGCCCAGTGGACTAGTTTTTGACTTTTTACTCCTTTTGAATGTTTGGTACCTCAGTAGAGTTTTTCCTCAGGTCATATATTGGAGGTAAGTAATGAGCACCAAGCCATCAGTTAAGATGGGTCACACAAGCTGCTGATGGATGCAGACGCAGGTGGACACGTGTCCACAGAGAGGAACTTCCTTCTTCCTGTTGACTGTATTTAAATGACATTAATAATGCATCTGCTGTTTCTTAAATGGATCAGTAATGTCATTTAATGAAATATGTCAGTCATAGCAGGATCTGAGCAAAAGATAAATTGCATTGTGAGTTTCTTGGTGAAACCCTTCCCATGCCACCCCTTTTCCCTGGAATTTCCAAGCAAGCATGGTACAAGGGAGTGTCTGGTAGATAAAGGGAGAAAAGAATTTCTAAAATGTTTCAAGGCTATATCTTAAGAAAGAGAGAGGAAAATGCCTCCAAAATACATTTTAAGGCTGAACTACCCGGTTACAATACATGCTGCTTTATTGATGTATTAAAGTGCTCTTGTGTCTGGGCCACCTAGGATACTTAGAACTCAGGAGGGCTGGGTCTGCAAATGATCCTCCAAAGCTCTTCTTGTCTCATGGCTGCCTTTTGTGCCCTAGGACAGACAAATCTTCCTTCAGGCCTCCCCACTCCTTTGGGGTGGGAAATAGAGTTCACTATGTGTAAGTAACACCTGAACTTCTCCAAGAACCATATTATTGTGTTGGAGTGTGGTTTATTTCTATTTTGTTTCCTTTAATTTTGTGGAGAATGTTTTTTTTTAAAAATTAGTGTGTCAGCTTCTCAGGCTAAGGGGAAAGCTATCACCATCACTAAGGCTGGAGGGGAAAGGGGGAACCCATGAGTCTGGAGGCTGCAGGGGTGACCAGGTGACACCTGCAAGCTGTTGATGCTATTGGCAATGCTCCTGCAGCCACCTACTTGCAGCCAACATTTTTCCTTTTGAAGCTCCTTATCCCCTAGGAAAATGGGAATTTTTCTCCGTTGAGGTGTACTTCCCCTGTCTCTAAAGTCTCATCCCATGGCACCATACTTTCTCCCTTACCATCTATAAAGATGATAGGAGAAGAAACAGAATGGTATGGGGAAAGGTTGAAATCAGGCCAGGAGGGTCTGTTTTTCTTCCAACTAGAGCCCCCAGCACATTTCTTTGGAGGAGGGGAGGACTCAGACTTTTACTGAGTACCTTAGGACCCACCAGGGTTTTTATTAGAGACTGTCCTAGACCCCAGAGCAGACCAAGATGGTCTCAAGAGTGGTTCCAAACTATACAACAATAGACTTAAAATGTTGGCAAGTCTTAGAAGAAAGATGTAAAAAGAAAAAGGCCCTTTAGGAGTTTGTTTTGTCCATCACTTCACTGCATTACCTTAAGTCATACAACTGGATGAAGCTTGTCAAGCAGATGACTGGCTCTCTGGTTGGCTTCCAGAGTGAGTTACTAAGGCAGTGTGGAAACATCTGACCTCTTAGGAAAAGTAAGGATAATAAAAGTACCAATCATATAGGGTTGTTTTGACAATTAAATGAGTCTGTTCATGTAAGGCGTTTAGAACAGTGCTTGGCAAGTTGTAAGTGCTGATAAGTATCTCTTAGGGTAGTGCTGGTGAAGATAGTTTTAATAGGGTAACTTGGGACTCAGGCTGTTTAGATGGGGTTGGGTAGAATCTAGGAAAACTGTCAAAAGGAGCAGGCAACTTTCTCTCAAGTGGACAGTTCATCTTGGGTTTGGAAATGTCCCCAACTTGACTTAATACTTCAGATGTAAAAAGCAAAGCCCTCTTTCCCCTTTGGCCATAATGTCTTTATTTGGGTGGTGAGTTGGCCCCAGCCATGTGGAGATAGAATGCAGATACCGTGGCTCACAGCTTGTATTTATCACATTATTTGACTGTGACCTACAGAAAGAAATATATTCCACATTATAATGCCATATGCAGACACTCATACTTGAAATGAAAGTCTCACACTCTTCCTTAAGCACTCTGATATTTTCTATTTCTTTTTTTTTAAATGTGGGTCGTAACCCAGTAACTTGATATCGTGACTCACTCTGGATCTACTCTAAGAAGCTGTGCAGTAAGGGGCCCCACAGGGAGGGGCCTGGCCCTGGCCCTAAGAACAGTCCTGTCCCTCTGGATGTCCCTCTTAGGGTCTCAAGCTTCAGGACAATTCTGTCACAAGTTGCAGCTGGGCCTTGACTGTGCTATGGGGGCTCAGGAGGGACTGCCCACATTGGAGGGCAAATAAGAGCCCCTTCTCTAAAGCCAGGTGACACTTGTGACTGGCCACCCAGGACAGGTGCCTGGCATTTCAGCCTCTCCAGCAGCACACAAAGGTTTGATGAATCAAGAACAGCAGAAGCCCTGGCCACAAAACCTAGACCTCCTTTGGGGAGTAGAGAGACCCAACATGTCACCATCTTGTGTTGCTCTTGCTGCCCCCCCGGGGGAGGGGTGGGGGAGGGGGGTGTGTTTCCAGCCTCTGGTGCTCTTCTCGGGGTCAGATGCAGTTCAGGTGACTCCCATAACTCTCAATATCCACCTTCCCTCTGTAACTTACCTTGATCCTGAAGCTCTCAGGGGATGGTCATCTTCACAGATGTGGTGTCACTTGATGGAGGCTGCCTCAGGGAGTGTTGGAGAGCCATGCTGGGAGGCCTGAGGAAGAGGCTGGCAGGAGAGTGAGGATGACTTCACTTTCTAAAATTTCCGGTCATGGCTGCGACAGGGTAGCAGACCTTCCTATTTAAAAAAAAAAAAAAAAGAGCTGGTTTGTCCACTCTTTTTTTATAACAATGTGTATAGAACTGTTATGTGGCAGGCACAGTGCTGGATGTAGGGGAGAGGTGTCCAAAGGCAAGGTCCCTGCCCTCCTGGAGCTTCCAGTCTCCGTGGTGTACACAGTTCATGAAATCATATGTTAGTGACTGGTGCTCTAAGGGAGTTAGTTGGGGAAATGGGATACAAAATGACTGGGGTGGGGCTTGTGGCTCCTCTTGGTGGGTAATAAGAACAGGCCTTTTTGAAGAAATGGTAATTGAGTTGAAATTAATGAAAAGACCCAAAGATCTGTGCTTCCCAAATGACGGGTTGAGAGCAATACAGATTCCCAAGTCCCTTCCTAGACTTAGTGAAGGCCCGGGAATTTACCTTCGCCCCCCTTCTAACCGATTCCATACACACTGAAATGAGACTTTCATCCTGAGGCTTCTGCTTTTAGAGAGGCTCACACCAGGTGAACTTCAGGGTCCCTTCCAACTCCCAGAGCCTGCGGTTCAGGGAAAGGAGCTCTGTGTGTGAGGCTGGGGTAGGGAGAGGAGCAGGACTGCTTGTGCTCAGGTTGCAGGATGCAGAAAACAGTGTGCAACAGCTCCTCAACACAGAGCTCACCCAGGGCCCTCCCTCCTCTAGGAGGCCCTCCCTCATCCGGCTCCCATCCCTTCTCTGCTTAGTTCCACATATTATGAAGGTCACAGTCACAGCAGCCCGCAGTAACTCTATTTCTCGCGTTGGGAACCACTCCAAACGGTTGGTGCATGCACTCTCTCTCGGCATATTTTGTGATCCTTGGGTTGGTGCCTGTGTCTCCCCACCCCCACCTCATCCGCCCTGAATGTTGGGACCGAGTTCTCCCTGCTGTGGGCACCCGGAGACCTGCTTGGCAGCTGGTTCCCCAGGAGTGTGGGGTTTTACACCTGCAGCAGCTGCCGCAGTAGGAACGCCTCCTTAACGACAGCAGCCACAGGCAGCCTGTTTGTGTTGGGCGGGGGTGGGGGGGTGGGGGGGGTAGGGGGGTGGGCAGGACTCTCCCAGGGGGCAAGACAGCATCTGCCTCCCAGGAGGTCCTGGAGCCAGGAGAATCGAAAGACCTGTTGTGTTTATCCCTGTTCGCCTTCACTTCAGTCCTAAACTGGCCTCAGTTTCCCATCTATTGCATAGGAAGAACCTTTTTGGTTTCTTTGTGAGGAGAGCAGGGAGGATTCTACTTTAAAAGGAGCCCTTCGCCCTTTCATTCCCTCGCCTCCTCGGTCTCCTCCTCAGCCATTGGGTCTCCCGGCGGCCGCACGGTGCGGCCCTGCGGACTCCGGGGGCGTCCTCCCAGACCCGCGGCCGGGGAGGCCGGTCCAGGGGCGTCGCTGTGTCGGGGGAGCAGGAAGTGCGACAAGCTCGCGGCCCGGGGCTGCGGCGCTCGGCCCCGCCCAGCTCCCAGCGGCGGCTTCAGGACGCCAATAACCCGCCAGCCCGGCCGCCCCC